ATTAAACAATTGTGTGAAATTGAAACTTTCTCTTCTGGAAAACACTTAGCTGAGGAAGTATTAAAACATCATTGTGATTGTGAAGATGCTATTCCATCAATGGATAACTGTGCCAGGTTGGCAAATTGGACAAAAAGAAGATTTCAGCCAGAAGAGCTGACAGATATTCACTCAAATTTTGAAATATCATTTATACCAGATGAGTTTCTGGTAAAAGATATTAAAATGAAAGATGACAGAATAATAATTTTTTCAACTCCAAAACAAATTGAACTACTGTCTAAAGGAAAGATATGGTTTTTGGATGGAACATTTAAATGTGTCAGAGACCCATTTTACCAATTGTTCACAGTTCATGGGTTCATCAAAAAACATGGAGAAATGAAACAAGTTCCATTACTGTTTGCATTTATGGGATTGAAGAAAAAGACAGCTTATAAGAAATTATTTCAGGTATACATACTTTTAATTTCAATTTTTTTAAGTAGTAAAATTCTTAGAAAAAGTCCATTAGGGAGCTGATCAATCAACATTTCCCAATGAAATTTGTGGTGGATTTTGAAAAAGGTATCTGGAGAGCATTATCATCTGTTTATCCTGAGGTTATAATTAGAGGATGTGTCTTTCACTGGACCCAATCTGTATATAGGAAAATTCAGGTAACTTTTATCATCATCTGTTGCAAAAAAATTAAGAAATGTAATAATTTTAGGAATTGGGCTACTCTTGTGAATATAAGGCAACAGGAGAGTGTTACCATGCAATGAAAAAAATAATGACATTACCATTTTTGCCATCAAACATCATTGAAAATGCATTCAAAAACATTGAACAGACAACCTCAACTCATTTAGGACCATTTATTGATTACATCAAGAACCAGTGGCTATATGGATATTACCCACCACATACCTGGTCAATATATGGTGAAGCAATCAGAACCAACAATGACCTGGAAGGATGGTACAATAGATTAAACAGGAATATCCATGCCAATTCTTCATTGTATGTTATCATTGATGAATTAAAGAGAGAAGCAGAGTTGATTACATTGTACAAGAAATTATTAAGTGAGAAAAAGATATGTAGACAACAGAGAAAGCCTTATCAGAAAATTCAAACTCAGATTTTTGGCTTATGGGAGCAATTTGAGGTCAGATTAATATCTGCATCAGATTTATTGGAAAAGGCAGCCAGCATTTATATTGCATCATAACTCATTCATTTAGCTTGTTACCATGTTATAAACTTAGTCTTTTATAATTTTTTTGCAGTTTGTTTTGTAGTTTTTAGTTTTTGTTTTCAACATATCATAATATCATAAATACAAATTATATATTTATTCTCTCAATTTTCCTTTTCATCTTAATCTCCAAAGGTTTTAAAAAGAAAAATTCTCTTTCACTATGGACATTTTCTCCTCAGTTGTGGATGTTTTCTCCTGTGGACGTTTTCTCTTTTGGATGTTTTCTCCATAAACCTTATTATGGCTTAAGTATACTACATATTTATTACTATTACAATATATTACTCAATGTAAATGAAAATGTTAACTAAGTAAATCAATAAATAATGTAGAATGGAAATCATTAGTTAATAATACTAATAATTAATATCAAGACAATAGACTACAGCAATTTCATATTCTTCTTGGGAAATTTCCAAATAATGGGAACAGAATATGTAAATTCGTAATTGATCCAGTGAAAAGACTAACTTCAGCAGATTCTTCTTAATACAGCTGCTTTTCTTGCAATCCTGATTCTATAGGCCCCTTTCTTACAATAAGATTAACAGCAAGTGACAGTTTCTAGCTTTGAGAAAACTACTTCTGTTGTGATGTGGTAAGCATGATGAAGTATTGGATCAATTGAGAATAGGAGATCTTTATATTTGATCAGAAATTCTTTTGAACATTGTACACATACATTCGTCAGCAATATTCTACAAACAATATCTGTTCTTTTCTATTGCAATATGGTTTATATTAAACCATATTGAGAGGAGATTGATAAATATCTTTCAAAATATACAAAGACATTACATATTGTGAATCATTGGTTTTTAGTTATTCAATATCAGCAAACATTTTTTGAATAAAATTTATTTGGCATTATCAAAAATGAATTAATATCTTTTTCTAGTGCCTACCCAAATTCTATTATAGGATATTGATTTTATTCCAAAAAATCATAGTTAGAGAGTGGCCATGTGAGAAAAATTTAGACAAAGAAAATATTGAATTTTTAGGTATTAAAAGTATTACAGTAGTGAAAAACCTACCTATAGTGTGTGCTTAGAAATATCAGCATAATAACATTTAGACTTTAGATATTATAGAACTTTAGTAAGCCTCAAATTTTGTAGGAATTTTAATGGTGGAAGATTAGAAAGACATTTATTTAGTACAATTAGGGTCTATGTTTTGAATAAAATTGTAGATAGAATTACATTACAAATAATAAGATTATTCAAGATAATTGTTCAAATTTTCTGGGAAGAGGATATCATTTACATCAAGTAGCCAACAATCATTATTATATCTCTTTACAAAGATATTAGGTTTTTAAACTCTTGTTTATTGCTATTATTTGAATCGAAGTGTAACCCTTGCTTGTTTATTGCATATTTTTGGTTTTTTCTCACATTTTTATATAAAATTTCTATTCCGAATTGTTTTTATTCACCTACAAAATAGGTAGATTTATTTTCAAGTATTTAAACTACATTGTAGATAGAATTAGATTATGAATAATAAGATGGGACACTTGTTGAGAGGAGATTGATAAATAGCTTTCAAAATATACAAAGACATTATATATTGTGAATCATTGGTTTTTAGTTAATCAATATCAGCAAACATTTTTTGAATAAAATTTATTTGGCATTATCAAAAATGAATTAATATCTTTTTCTAGTGCCTACCCAAATTCTGTTATAGGATATTGATTTTATTCCAAAAAATCATAGTTAGAGAGTGGCCATGTGAGAAAAATTTAGACAAAGAAAATATTGAATTTTTAGGTATTAAAAGTATTACAGTAGTGAAAAACCTACCTATAGTGTGTGCTTAGAAATATCAGCATAATAACATTTAGACTTTAGATATTATAGAACTTTAGTAAGCCTCAAATTTTGTAGGAATTTTAATGGTGGAAGATTAGAAAGACATTTATTTAGTACAATTAGGGTCTATGTTTTGAATAAAATTGTAGATAGAATTACATTACAAATAATAAGATTATTCAAGATAATTGTTCAAATTTTCTGGGAAGAGGATATCATTTACATCAAGTAGCCAACAATCATTATTATATCTCTTTACAAAGATATTAGGTTTTTAAACTCTTGTTTATTGCTATTATTTGAATCGAAGTGTAACCCTTGCTTGTTTATTGCATATTTTTGGTTTTTTCTCACATTTTTATATAAAATTTCTATTCCGAATTGTTTTTATTCACCTACAAAATAGGTAGATTTATTTTCAAGTATTTAAACTACATTGTAGATAGAATTAGATTATGAATAATAAGATGGGACACTTGTTGAGAGGAGATTGATAAATAGCTTTCAAAATATACAAAGACATTATATATTGTGAATCATTGGTTTTTAGTTAATCAATATCAGCAAACATTTTTTGAATAAAATTTATTTGGCATTATCAAAAATGAATTAATATCTTTTTCTAGTGCCTACCCAAATTCTGTTATAGGATATTGATTTTATTCCAAAAAATCATAGTTAGAGAGTGGCCATGTGAGAAAAATTTAGACAAAGAAAATATTGAATTTTTAGGTATTAAAAGTATTACAGTAGTGAAAAACCTACCTATAGTGTGTGCTTAGAAATATCAGCATAATAACATTTAGACTTTAGATATTATAGAACTTTAGTAAGCCTCAAATTTTGTAGGAATTTTAATGGTGGAAGATTAGAAAGACATTTATTTAGTACAATTAGGGTCTATGTTTTGAATAAAATTGTAGATAGAATTACATTACAAATAATAAGATTATTCAAGATAATTGTTCAAATTTTCTGGGAAGAGGATATCATTTACATCAAGTAGCCAACAATCATTATTATATCTCTTTACAAAGATATTAGGTTTTTAAACTCTTGTTTATTGCTATTATTTGAATCGAAGTGTAACCCTTGCTTGTTTATTGCATATTTTTGGTTTTTTCTCACATTTTTATATAAAATTTCTATTCCGAATTGTTTTTATTCACCTACAAAATAGGTAGATTTATTTTCAAGTATTTAAACTACATTGTAGATAGAATTAGATTATGAATAATAAGATGGGACACTTGTTTATTCCAAATAATCATAGTTAGTGAGTAGGAATATGAGAAAAATTTAGACAAAGAAAATATTGAATTTTTAGCTATTAAAAATATTACAGTAGTGAAAAACCTACCTATAGTGTGTGCTTAAAAATATCAGCATAATAATATTTAAACTTTCCATATCATAGAACTTAACAAAATTAACAGTTGATAGTTCAGTTTTCTAACCATCAGCTAGTTGTTTAAACTAGCTTGTTTAGAACTAGAAGCTCATTTTACTCAATACATATTCTTTGGATGTAATACTAGTGTTTTGTTTATTAATTTCTACTGAAATTGCCTTTGTTAGACTATTTGTGGACGAACTTTAAAGGTTCTATTTGGACCAGTACTTTGGCAAGTTGGTAAATGATTGGAAAGGACAATTACAGTTGTGACAAACCAGAAATTCCTACAAATACAATACATTTATAGAAAATTTTAACAAAGAATGTAATGAATTTTTGGCTATAAAAAAGAACATTTTTTGAATAAAATTGATTTGGCATTATCAAAAATGAATTAATATCTTTTTCTAGTGCCTACCCAAATACTGTAATAGGATATTCATTTTAATCTGATTAATCATAGTTAACAAATAGCAATATGAATATATTACATTCTTTGTTAAAATTTTCTATAAAAGCAATGTGAGTATTTATTCTGCATTTTAAGATGAAAGAAAGAACTATGAATTTCTTAATCTGCCTGACAGTTGTATTTTGTCAATTTGGTATGTCTTTTGTTTTGAATTTTGATTGTTTGTTTTTTTACAAATTTTACTGGAATATATTAATTTTTGTAACAATTAATTAATATTTTTAGAATATTCTGCATTGACATCCCCACCAAGATTTATTTTTGATAATGGAGTGGAATTTAATGAAGGGGATGAAGTAGAAATAAAAATCAAGGGAGGTTTTCCAGGTCATACTTGCAGGTATGAAATGATTGATCCTTTTAGTAAATATCAATTTGCTCTTTTTTCTCTTTCAGTATACAAGTTGATCCAGATTATTCAGGTACTGGTGCCACATCATTTTCAAATTTAGGATCATCACAAACAGTAACTTTGACATTATCAATTGTAAGTGATGGTGAAACTGAAGGTCTTGAAGAAAAGATATTACGCTATAATTGTCCTTCATCATACTATAAAAGTTTTACAAGTACCATATCTATTTTAAGTCAAGGTGGTGGTGGTGGTGATCCACATTTTCTGTTTTGTAAAGGATAAGAATGGTTGGGAATGAAGCAATTTGTTTGATGTTTCTTCAACTTATTACAGGAAATTGAAAATTTTTAAAGATTTCAAACAAAATATTACTGTATTGGTGTTCTAAAAGATGACTACTATATGCATCAGATTGTCTTTTCTTTAAATAATCATAATTTGACCATTGCTCTAGATGGAGTGTACATTCAGGATCAAAAATATCAAGACTGGCATTCTACAAAAAAACCAATTCAAATTGGAGATTTTACTGTGACTCTAGCACCTGAGAATAATATATTTGTAGTTGGAATAAAGAAACAGAACCACTCTAAATCTGAATTTTTCTCAGTAAAAAAATCAAAGAAGCTTGTAGTTGGAGAATTTTTAGATATTATCATTCAAACACAATTGGCAAACAAGAAAAATGGAGGATTACTTGGTATTGTTTACCAAAAAAATTTTCATTTCTTTAAGAATGTTCAAGACAGTGAAAATAATATGGCCTCTTCTGTCATAGTAAATGATAGACTGGTTCATTCCAAGATTGTAAAGAGATATAATAATGATTGTTGGCTACTTGATGTAAATGATATCCTCTTCCCAGAAAATTTGAACAATTATCTTGAATAATCTTATTATTTGTAATGTAATTCTATCTACAATTTTATTCAAAACATAGACCCTAATTGTACTAAATAAATGTCTTTCTAATCTTCCACCATTAAAATTCCTACAAAATTTGAGGCTTACTAAAGTTCTATAATATCTAAAGTCTAAATGTTATTATGCTGATATTTCTAAGCACACACTATAGGTAGGTTTTTCACTACTGTAATACTTTTAATACCTAAAAATTCAATATTTTCTTTGTCTAAATTTTTCTCACATGGCCACTCTCTAACTATGATTTTTTGGAATAAAATCAATATCCTATAACAGAATTTGGGTAGGCACTAGAAAAAGATATTAATTCATTTTTGATAATGCCAAATAAATTTTATTCAAAAAATGTTTGCTGATATTGATTAACTAAAAACCAATGATTCACAATATATAATGTCTTTGTATATTTTGAAAGCTATTTATCAATCTCCTCTCAACAAGTGTCCCATCTTATTATTCATAATCTAATTCTATCTACAATGTAGTTTAAATACTTGAAATAAATCTACCTATTTTGTAGGTGAATAAAAACAATTCGGAATAGAAATTTTATATAAAAATGTGAGAAAAAACCAAAAATATGCAATAAACAAGCAAGGGTTACACTTCGATTCAAATAATAGCAATAAACAAGAGTTTAAAAACCTAATATCTTTGTAAAGAGATATAATAATGATTGTTGGCTACTTGATGTAAATGATATCCTCTTCCCAGAAAATTTGAACAATTATCTTGAATAATCTTATTATTTGTAATGTAATTCTATCTACAATTTTATTCAAAACATAGACCCTAATTGTACTAAATAAATGTCTTTCTAATCTTCCACCATTAAAATTCCTACAAAATTTGAGGCTTACTAAAGTTCTATAATATCTAAAGTCTAAATGTTATTATGCTGATATTTCTAAGCACACACTATAGGTAGGTTTTTCACTACTGTAATACTTTTAATACCTAAAAATTCAATATTTTCTTTGTCTAAATTTTTCTCACATGGCCACTCTCTAACTATGATTTTTTGGAATAAAATCAATATCCTATAACAGAATTTGGGTAGGCACTAGAAAAAGATATTAATTCATTTTTGATAATGCCAAATAAATTTTATTCAAAAAATGTTTGCTGATATTGATTAACTAAAAACCAATGATTCACAATATATAATGTCTTTGTATATTTTGAAAGCTATTTATCAATCTCCTCTCAACAAGTGTCCCATCTTATTATTCATAATCTAATTCTATCTACAATGTAGTTTAAATACTTGAAAATAAATCTACCTATTTTGTAGGTGAATAAAAACAATTCGGAATAGAAATTTTATATAAAAATGTGAGAAAAAACCAAAAATATGCAATAAACAAGCAAGGGTTACACTTCGATTCAAATAATAGCAATAAACAAGAGTTTAAAAACCTAATATCTTTGTAAAGAGATATAATAATGATTGTTGGCTACTTGATGTAAATGATATCCTCTTCCCAGAAAATTTGAACAATTATCTTGAATAATCTTATTATTTGTAATGTAATTCTATCTACAATTTTATTCAAAACATAGACCCTAATTGTACTAAATAAATGTCTTTCTAATCTTCCACCATTAAAATTCCTACAAAATTTGAGGCTTACTAAAGTTCTATAATATCTAAAGTCTAATGTTATTATGCTGATATTTCTAAGCACACACTATAGGTAGGTTTTTCACTACTGTAATACTTTTAATACCTAAAAATTCAATATTTTCTTTGTCTAAATTTTTCTCACATGGCCACTCTCTAACTATGATTTTTTGGAATAAAATCAATATCCTATAACAGAATTTGGGTAGGCACTAGAAAAAGATATTAATTCATTTTTGATAATGCCAAATAAATTTTATTCAAAAATGTTTGCTGATATTGA